ATCTAAATTGGAAAGGTGGGAGATCATCTCGTCACAAAGAGCCCTGGACAGCCATCTGATGAGTCAGAAAAAAGGGTTAGAAATTTTACTTCCCCAAAAGCTCTTGTCCCAACAACAACATAAATGAGCTTCCTTTTTCATTCTTCAAATGGCCCCTTAGGCAATACAATGTCATATTAGAAGTTAAAAGTTATAACCTTATTTGAGCTAAGAGAAACTGGATAATCAACATCTTTTTATTCCACATGGTAGAAACGTGAGGAAATGTTTCCCTTCAGATCATGGTTATGCATTTTTTAGCAGGTAACAAAATAGAACACAAATTCAGCTGATGGGTTTCTGGATGGTTTAGCTTTTCAGTTTGGCAGTTCTGCTGTTTGATTTGATTTGAGGATTGTACATCCAGAATTTGGGAATCTCGTTAGCTGCAGAAATGTTCAAATGATTTCTTAGGCGTAAGTTTAATTATCACCTATTGTTAAGGCTCATAGTTTACTGCCTCAATGGACTAACAAAGCTCAGGTTATAATTTCAATTGGATTAACTCATTTTGAGGCCTGAATAGTTCATTAATATATAAATTCTGTGGATTAGAAAATAATTGATGCTGTAGACACTTGGTAAAGCCCCAAGATGTCTTCATCATATCTTTGTATCTATATAGAGCTTTCTTACATCAATATTCACCCTAAAATTACTGTTAAGTCTCAAACTGTTTTAGAGGATCATTTATTAGTAGTTATTGTCCTGTGGTTAAGGATTAGTGTCTTGGGGGAGACAGTTATTTTTGTTTACTTTGGATTGGTTTGAGGGATGAGAGTTAGGAAGGAAGGTAATTCTCGGATCTGAGTTCGGTTCCTGTATCTATTCTCAAAATTTGGAATTTGATAATCATCATAACACTGCCTTATATTTATATAGTTCTTTATAAGATTCAGGCCAAGGCTAATGATTATTGTTCAGATTTTCTTTCTTTTCAAGGATGTCCAAGACTAAGGATGGCCTGTGTATAGAAGCAAGTCAGGGGATGATGTTCTGGCAGATACTGTTTTGTTTTGGTTTGTTTTGTTTTGGTGTTACAATTATAGGTTTAAATCTTACACTTTTATTTGTCTTAACATGAGAAATCTCTTTTTCTTGAGCCCCCAATTATAAAGATAACCTGAAATAGCCTAGCACCACAAAATTTCATGCCATTGGTCATGAAGTGAAAGAGTCACAAGGCAGTAACATGACTCCGTGCAAATTCCTCACTAAGCTCAGATGAATAAATGCAAGTATGTTTCTTACTAACATTCCTGATCAAGAACAATGACTATAAATGCTAACAAAAGGGCAACTAATATTCAGTCATAGATTCAAAAGATTTATTAAATATCCATTCACATGCTAAATACTGGAGAACTCCTTAACTAAATGCACTTAAACATACATATCTAGGAAGTTATCTTTGCAAAATCAATCAAGGTTCTAGAATATAAATTGAGTATGTTCCAGACAAGTTTGAAGAGGGTTTTATAAATCCATTTCAATAGTAGTCTACACAATATCCTTTCTGTTCAAATGCTTTTCCCTCCATAGCATTAATGTAAATGGTTTAGAATTCTGTTATGGCTTGGCAATTCAGATGGATATATTAGAAAGCTTTATAGGGAAAAGGTAGAGAGAAACTTGTCTCTAAGTTTAGCAAAGACTTACAATCCCCAGTCAGGGCAGAATTATTCTATTCCTTTTCTTATAATAATCAATTTAGATAATGAAAATCCAATTCCAAATTTAGCAAGTCAACTATAATAAATTAAAGCTGTAAATGCAGAAAAATTGAAGCTCTGAATTCTGACATATCTATCTAGCCAAGCTGGTCATTTTTCTACAGCTTTACCCTTAATCCCCACAGAAAACAGTGGAATGCTCTCTTTGCAGAATCATATGCAAGGAACATTAAAACAGCCAGGGGCATGGTCAAAATAATGTCTGAAAATGAGAGTCATCCCAGTGGTTTCAGAGCTGAAAATTGGTTTCATCAAAATCCTATTTGCTTCTTTCATTTCTGTAGCTGAAGATTTGCACCCTTTGGTTCAAGATGATTAATTTAGGAAATTGTATTTTGTTTCTTTCTACAATTTTACTGGAATAAAGGCACTGTTAGAATTGAATTGGATAACATATTGGAAAGGTACTTGATTAATTTTCATTCTTAAAATCCATGTCATTAAAGTACAGTTTCTAAATATGTTGTGTGAATTTAAGTTATAGCTGGCCTTGCTACAATTATGTTGTAGAATATATAGCGTAAGAAAAATTCTGCAAGTTGCTGTAACTTCATGAGATTTTTACTGATGAAAACAAAGAGAATAAAATTCAAGATATTAGGGTAAATCAATCTTCTTAATCAGCTATACATAAAAGTTCCAAATAATTAAGTCAAAGGTGCTCTGTTTTCATTTGTTTTGACTGACAGAAAGTGTAGAGAGATAATTACCTCAGTGGTCTACTTCATTCTGCATATGTAGACAGAATCTCTGGTAAAAAAAAGTAATGGTATCTACTGCCTAAAACTCCTTTAAAATTTCTATGATGCTATGATGTAATTGTGCTTAAAAATATGTTCCCTGATAGAAATGATGTATCTTTCCTTTTTATTTAAATCAACACAATTGACTCTCAGGCACTAATCATTCAAACCAAAAGCATCCATCACATTTTCTGGGGTTGTAAATAGGTTCCTAATTTTATTTACTCAATTCGATTGTTATATTATTGCAAGTAACAGTGTTGTAATGAAACCTAAGAATAAAAAATCTCATATTTCATACTTAAAGTATTTATTAACTACACTGTACAAATGTGAAATTGAAATCAACCTAATACATTCTATGAGTAATATCATTATAATAAAAAATGTTTTCTATTCAGTTCAGTCATACCAATGTAATGTTCAATAATCCCATCATTGTAATATCTAGTTACCTTAACGTCACTTCCATTTAAACACATTCTATTTATGCGGCTGCCATTGGGTCGGCTAGAATCAATCCAATAGATGAATTCTTCTCTGTAATCAAAATCTATAGCAATAACATTGTTTAATCCCTAAAA